AAGCACTCTTCAGACATACAGTGCATATCCCATCACTTCAAATCAGTCCTGTTTCAGGGTTAGAATTCCATTGCATGGCTCAGACAGGGTCCATCTGTCCGTCCATCCCGTCCCCCTGCCCTTCTCCCCGCCACTTCCCTGCCATCCCATGCCCCACCACCACCACCTTTATCCCACTTGTCTTAACACAGTAAGGCCTGAGTGTGAAGGTCCAGGTTCAGCACTCTCTAACATGATCCCTCTCGCACAGCTGGAGTCCTGCAAATGCACGTTATTTCCTGGACTTGGCCAAAACCCGAAATCCCTGCCTATACCCCACCACTGTGCTCAGTCTTTAAAAACAAAAACAAAAACGCACCAGTTACAATCTTTTGTGGCTGTCTAAAGCCCTTAACATGTTTTGTTGGATATTTTCCCATTGGCCATGTTGCTCAATACCTCTAAGTTGTGCATTCGTTTGTATAACAGGGTGAATAATTCCCTCCTAAGGTGGTTGTCCTGACTGCACCCAGGGCCCCCAGCAATGGATGAAAATAGTGACAGTATCCAGGCCCATGTGGCTTGACTTGGCATCTGAGACCTTGGAGGTAGTGAGGGGAGGACCCAGTGAGCCCCTGGGCCCTGAGCTCTAGGAACAGGCTCATGACTGGAGTCTTTCCGGGGAGCCTGGGCAGAACAGGGCTGGTCCTTGGAGGTCTTGCCAGCAGGTTGGGCAAACACTTCTGCTTAATGAGGGCAATCGCCTCATGGGAAGCACTTCCGCAAACATGACATTGCCTCACTGGTCTCGGGAAGGCCTCCAGCTTCTTTTCTTCCAACTTGCTCTTCAGAACCCCAGTTTTAGAAAGCACTGCTCCTTCAGAAAACTTGGAAAAGCAAGCCATTTATTCTCCACTATCTAGACTCTAGATTCTAGAGGCAGTCACTGTTAACATTCCAGTGGTGTCCTCGTTCCCTTCTCCAGCCCCCATCCGCACCCCCCAGCCATTTAATATATAAAACAAGGCAGGGTTTTTTTCCTTGGCTGATTGGTTGGTTTGGGGTTTTGTTTTTGTTGGTAGTTGGTAGATACTGTTTCTCATACTCCAATCTGCCCTTGACCTCCTGCCTCCAGCTTGAATTACAGGGGTGTACCACCACACCCAGTTCTGGAAGTATTTTTCATTTTTTAAAAGCCACTTGTATTCTTCTGCAACCTTTCCAAAGACACTTTAAGTGGTTCCTGAGTAGAGATGTTTAACACCTAGGTTGGCCTGTGGTGGTGGAATTTTTGTCACTCTGGCAGCCAAGGACCGCTCTTCTGTCCTCCCCAGGCAGCGCGGCTAACAACAGGTCCTGTCCTAAAGAGAAAGACTTGGTAGGCCTGGGACTTTCTCCGTTCTGCGTCGCACCCCAGTGACGTCACAGAAAAGGCATGGCCTGTGGCATCCGACAAAGCTGGGGTTGGAGCCCAACTCGGAACTGGGGAGCTGTGCGATGTGGGGCAGCTGGCCTAGCCTCTCCTGAATCAACTTTCATGTTTCAAAACAGAGGTGAACTTCGTCTGTTTGCTGGGCTGGCTCTGCTTATAGAATAGAAAATGCTAGCTGGGTGGTGGTGGCGCACACCTTTAATCCCAGCACTTGGGAGGCAGAGGCAGGCGGATCTCTGTGAGTTCGAGGCCTTGAATAGAATACTGACAGATCCCAAAGGAGAATTCACCTCTGCATTTGTGTGCCCTGATCTGTGTGACAAGCAGCAGTTTGCATCGTTGGCAGCATCATTTCCTGTGCGTGTGTTAGCGGAGGACCAAGGCATACACACAACATACACTGGAGATAAATTCTCTTCCTGATACCAAAAACGCTAACAACGACAGTGTTGCCAATGACAAATTGAGTTTTAAAATTTTACTTATCTATGTATGCGTCTTTGTATTCTAGCTTAAGACATTAATTTTATCTATTTATCTACTTACTTGTTTTTGAGACACTTGTTTTTGAGACATGGTCTTATTATGTAGCCCTGGCTATCCTGGAATTCTTTAAGTAGACCAGGCTAACCTTGAACACACAGATCTGCCTGCCTCAGTCTTCCCAATGCTGGGATTAGAGGCTTATACCACTATGCTTGAAAAGATATTAATTTTTAAATGAAATAAATCAATTTTTAAAACCTTAAGTTACTCAATGATCATGAAGTCATGGATCTTGGAGGAGAACCTACAACCACTACTTTGCTAGACCAGCAAAATCCCTAACTGCATTCTAAATATTTGTCTTTACACCCACAGGTAAGTGTAGTCCTCACCCCTCACCAAGGAAACTTTTCTTTGCAACAGACAGAAACCACGACAGAAAACCACAACCAAGTAAACTGCAGAGTTGTGGAGCCCAGTCCCAGTAGATACATCTACAAGACACTGCTGCACCTAAGGCTCAGGGAACATTGTGGATGAGAGAGGTTAAAGTTTGTAAGAGCCAGAGGGTCAGGGAGTTTGCACTGATGCTGTATTTCCCTGTAAGGTTAGACCCTATACCCGTATACATGGCTGACTAGACATAATAAGTTGAACGAGGACAGCACCAACAGACATGCCAAAGTGAGTGAAGAGAAGACTACGAGGCTTCAACCCTACCCAGAGAACTACTGAGAGTGGGAGAAACAGCCTTCTCTGGGGAAGAGCACACCAATTGACTATCTGATACCAAATTGTCAGCCCTGAAAACATGTGTATGAGTTACATTATACAGACTGAGCCGGTTATATTTAGGAATATATATGTATATACATATATGCATGTAACAATATATAAATGAAAAAAGAGGCTATGCATTTGAAAAAGAACAAGGAGGGGTATGCGGAAGAGTCTGGAAAGAGGAAAGGGAAGAGGACAATGATGTAATTATATTATGATTTCAAATTTTTTAAATTAAAAAAAAATATTTAAGCATAAAGACAGCTCACCACTTAGAAGAAAACATTTGCCAAAAGTGGATGTGATGATGGTTTCGCATCCAGAATATTTCAAGAACTATTATAACTGCACAAAAAGACAAGCAATTCAACTAAAAGTTGAGTTGAAAGACCGTCTCCAGAGTAGATACACACATGGCCGATCACCCCAGAGAAAGATGCTATGCATCATTAGCCATCAGCAAAATGCAAATCAAAACCACAGTAAATACCAGCACATCCCATGAGGATGACCATGGGGAACCATAGACAATAACAAGTGTTGACAAGGGTGTGGAGTGATTGGAATCCTCCTCGATTGGCCAGTGGGAGCTGTTTTGAAGAATACTTTGGCAGTTCCCCAAGAATGAAATGTAGAGTTACCCCCGCCCATTCCTGGATCTATAGCCAAAAATATAAAAAACCTTTTCTGTATACACACACACACACACACACACACACACACACACACACACACACACATAATATACACATGGAGGAATCTTCTTTGTTCATATTAGCCAGAGAGTGGAAACAGCTGAATTTTCCCCCAGCTGGTGAATGGATACGCAAGATGAAGAATTTGGTTAGAGTAATATATTCAGCCATGGGAAGGAGCAGAGGGCTAATGCATGCTGCATTGCAGACAGACCTTGAGAATGTTATGCTAGGTGGGAAAACGCTCATCCGGAGACTACACATTGTAAGATTCCATTTTTGTAAAATGTCTGAAACAGGGAAAGCCATGAAAATAGAAGGCTGGCCAAGGGCTCTGGGGAGGGAGAATGGGTAGTAACTAATAATTTGTTTGTTTGTTTGTTTTTTGAGGGGAGAGGGGTTAATGAAACGTTCTACAATAAGATAGTGTGATGGTTCCTTACATTGTAAATGTACTTTCAAAAAAAAAAAACCACTTAATCCAACATGTTAAAAGATAACTTTTACGTAATTTGAGTTATATCTCAAGTTTTCTACATTTATTTATTTTATTGTTAGTCATTGGAGAAATGCAAATCAAAACCACAGTAAATACCAATGTGTCCCCAGAAGGGATGACCATGAGAAAAGATAGAAAACAATTAAATGCTGACAAGGGTGTGGAGTGATTGGAAGCCTCCTATAATGGGGTTTCTCTAGCCCCTATTTCTTGGGATTTTTTTATGTGTGGAATCATGCCAGATGAACTTCAATGGACTGACTTCTGTTACCCATCCTCATGTCTTTGAGATACAACCCTGGGCTTGTCACTTGTGGCTTATACTACATTTTGTTCCTGTTTATCTATATGTGTGTGTTTGTATGTGTGTGTATAAAACATACATGTATATATACATATATGTATATTAAGAAGTTTTATTGAGTTATAATTCACCACACTTTACTTGAAGATCAGGAATGCAAAACCCAGAGAGGGATGACATCTGACTAAAAAGAAATAAGAGCCGGGCGGTGGTGGCGCACACCTTTAACCCCAGCACTCGGGAGGCAG